CCTCAATTATCTGCAAACACCCGCACTTCTAAAAAGTAACAGCAAAATATGAATTTAACGACAGAGATGTCAAAAAATTTACTTACGTCAAGTGCACTTGTAGTATACATACTACAGATTATGAAAATTAGGAGACAAAAAATCCTTGACTGGCTCCTTCGGCCTAGTCCGAATTCGGATGCAACATGCAGTGGAAAGATAGACCAAAATGAGGGATATTTTGGTGAAAAATCACCACACCTGGTAACCCTGATCAATTAGTAAGCACAACGATGCTTGCGTGGAAATAAGAGTGTGCGTAAGTCTGGTTGCCTATTCGTTCTGCTCGACGCAAATATGAATAAAATAGAGTTTTTCTGGATGTTTCGGCTTGGTAGTACTGTATGTCCGTTAGTGCGTTATGTGTTCTGTGAATAAGGTAGTTAATCGAAAATTTAGACATTCGGACGGGAATATAAGAAAAATCCTTTTCGCGCGCGCCTTTGACCCTGTGAGCAAACTTGATAAAAACACATTTTGATGGACAAAATCAGAGAAAAGCAGTCTCATCTGAATGAAAGGAGATAATAAAAAGTATGCATCAAGTTATCTAACCGTAAGAGTGATCAAATCTCGCACTCTTCATCTATCAGCTCAAAAGCTTATGCATTACTTAATACTTTTGACTGTTTTTATTTTTTACTCAGTATGATAATATTGTCTTAGTTTTATCATTAACATGGTGTTTCCCAAATATGGGGCAAGCATTTAATGTGTGACTCTTGGGACTATTCTGAAACTATTATATTTGATCCTCTCGATTTGCGAAACACCTCTTGATTCCGGAAAAATAGGACCCTAAAGGAAACGGCGTTGGAAATATGTTTTTCTTATATATGTGTATATATGTACGTATATATATCGCCGCTTAAGTTTTAACATCGCGTAACTCAAAAAATGGCGATATCATGCGTGTCATTCGATAGGAAATTTTGGTCGTTTAAAAACTTGTCAGTTTTGAGCTACGCTGTGTTAGAACATAAGTGATGATCCAACTAAAACTATCAACTCATTTAGCTCGCCAGAGAGCCATAAACGCAATATATTGCTAATTTTTTACACCTTTGTATAATAATGCCTAGAAAATAGTATTTTTGGAAATTATAACGTACTGTTCCATCTACATCATTGTAATACTACCTGTGGTTGTTTCAAGAATTGTTTGATTCTGATAACATCCACCGTTTTTTTTTAATATTCGTGGTTTTCAGGTCGCAAATTTTCAATACGAGTAAACCAGTAACGGTTCCATAATTTAGAAAACTGTACCAAAATAATAAGGGTGTTGTACTTCAAAACCCCAGAATGGCTCAGTGAATAAGACACACCCCTTCCCCTCCGGAGACAAAAATTCTCCTGAACATAAATCCTGTGACCCCTGACATAAATCCTGGTCCCTTGCACTATACAGGGTGACCTTGAAGTTGAGTCATTAATTTTCAGATAATGATTGTAGAAGGAAGATAAACCAAAATATGTGTGTAAAAATAAAAAAAAAATAAAAAAAAAATTTACCTTGTTTTATAAAGTATCCTCCCGACAAGTATTTCAGTGCGGACCTGTATTTGATCGTGAGGTCCCCTGTGAGGTCTTAAGTCACCTGATTCACGAGCCGGTTGTACTACATTAACAAAGGCACGAGGGGTTGGTTGCACTCGATTGGGAAACCGATCCGCATAAACATGTTTCATTTTTTATTTCGTTTGAGCCACGCAACAGATACCACTATTCATTGTCACTGACTGTATACAAATGAATGAAATAATTGTAAAAACATCGTTCAAAATTCTTTCGCTTTTTTGTTTCCGATGCGATGAACCGATACGGCGGATTATATCCGTTGTCGCCAAACACGAGCACATAATATTATCATTGAGACAGGGCGGTACTCAAACTTCCAAAGGGCTATAACTTTGTTACTTTAATTTTACCAGAAAAATGGTAAAGGAAAAAACATTTCCTTTAATCAGATCTACTCACTGTTAAAATAAATGACTCAACTTCGAAGTTCTGTATAAAGCAGTATTCTTTCTCATAAGTCGATTATCGTCCTTCAAATGTCGCCTTTTACGTTTGCTTTTTCTTTTTCAGCCGACATGATAGTGATTCCCAAGCCCCAGTTTCTCTCCAAAAAGCCCAAATACCCTGCGCCAGTTTCGTCCAGCAATCTGTACATTCCCAACAAAGACGATAGAAAGCTCCGTATAGAAGCTGAACACCGAGCATGTGTTAAAGAAGCCGAGGCTAGTAGATCGGCTATTGCTAACCTGACAAAAGAGATCGTATCTGCTCCACATGCTAATACTTTCATCATTGACGAAACTTGCTCAGAGACCACAGTTGAGAATTTCATCTCGCATCCCACAGTAGGATTTGGTGCTGGTCAAGTGTTTTTGCCCACTGACCCAAATGTGTCGAACAATGTCATTCAGTCGACCATACCCAGTAGCTCTGAAGAACTTACTGCTGATAAGATAAAGGATCTATTGGGAAATGAAGCCAACTCTAGTGTGAAGATACTGTTCAAGACCAGTGATGAAAGTTTCGTCACTGTTACTGACGAAGCTCTCCAGAATCTTCAGAAGGATGGTCTGCAATATCAAGTGATAGGCGAAGATGAAAAATTAGGCGACGTTCAGGAATTGCAACTGACTAAGGATATGACCAATGCGGCAGCTGAAGATATACCACTTTTTCCGGAAACGTTTGATCTATTCGGCAATGCTCAAACAGACTCGGCAAATATCATCATTGAACCATGTAAAGTAGTGGATAACGCTGATATGCTTTTTGCTGACTGATAACAAGAGGATTTGTTTGGAAGAAGATACCTCGAAGCAGTGACATGTTGTTTGGTTTTTAGTTGTTTGCAGGGATAAATTGTATTCATTATTTGTTTCAATAAAAACAATTTCATGATTACAGTTATTGTTTTTCGGACTCCATTGCCCCACCCCTTATCAAGTACAATGACAATTAATTCAGGGGTTACCTTAATAGCTTCCTTTCGAATTAGACCAGTCAAATCATTGTGGAAATTACATACGCAAATTTGCTGAATTCCAAAAATGAGAAAGAAAAGAAGAGAAAATCCCGGGTTGGTGAAGTAACAGGTGAGAAAATATGCTACAGACAGAAATATTTATGAAAGTGAAGGGGTTATTTACTACATTTTTTTTTATTTCCAGTTCAGTCTAGAAATTTATTTTGCGATGTCAATAGAAAATACAAATCAGCGTCTAGACATGAGACACTGCGCAAATGTTTGAAGTATGATGCGTCATTCCTAATTTTACTGTGATGTGGCTTAATTGCACACAACGCGGGCGCAGTGGCGATTTCCCATAATCAAAGATTTTGAAAACACAAAAAAGCGGGAGCTATCGTAATTTATAACTTTGATTATAACCCGTATACCGAAAGGACAACATATAAATAACTCGTCGGGCACAGCTAATAGATATATACTCCATGTACACCAATACACAAAATCATCGAGATGTGATCTTGCTACTCAACCAACTTTCATTCTTCCACATCCTCTCAGACTACAGACCACTCGGATTCACAAAACATTCGAGTATACTAGCTTTCTGCAACCAACAATGCGCGCAGCTGAGTCATTCCTCCATAGATCAACGCTTACAAAACTACCTAGTCTGCAAGATGACATTTCGTTGTTTTTTTACATTTTATCGGGTTTTTACATAATAGCCGTGCTGTAGGACGAACTATGTAAGGAATAAATCGTAAGGTCTCATCCATCATCTCACGCAACTTCTTCAATACAAACAGATGGCGTCAAATAGGTTAACTCTCGACTTCCCAGGCAACGCCCTTATCAGTACGTAGAGGAATATGTTCAGCACAAACTAGACTCTCAGAGGAAAAAGTCAGTCAAGCAGGTCTATACAATTAGTCCATACATATTTTCCCCTGCCCTACCGGTGGTGCATCAGAACCAGTGGCGGTTCCACTGTAGGAGCACATGAGCACGTGCACCCCTAAAATAAATAATAAAAAATATGTATAATATCCATTTAATAATTTCTCAAAGTCTGAGCCTCCCTGATATTTAATCGTGTGAGTCACCAGTCACCACCCTTAACGCTGCGCTGCCTGATTCGGGCGATTCGGACTGGCCCGGCCCGACTGCCGCCGACGGGTGACGACGGATGACGACGAATAGTCGCATTATGCGATCATGTACGCGGGATTAGTGTGTTTCTCTCCCTGCTGTTCTGGTTGCGGGGTATAGCGGGGTTATCGCAATTTTAGTTGGAAAAGACCCACACTTCTGGAGTGCGCCATTGTCCGTTATGCAGTAATTGGAGGTGTGTTCGAACTTTTATGTTCGTAGCAGTATTTTAATGAGATATTGGGTTAAAACCACAAAGAGACTTTATTAGAAAGTTTAAAATGGAAATCTATGAAAATTAGGCAGCAGCGGTGGCCGCAGTAGTAGACTCTTCGGTCTCCTGATCAGTCGCCGTGCGCTGTGCGGGTTCGAGTCCCGTCCCAGGAGACATTTTTCTCTTGACTATGGATGTTGTGATTGTCCGTAGGTGGTAGACGGTCTCTGACTGTCGAACGCGGAGGTACCACCCGGCGGATCTCGTAGGCGGAGCCAGAATGTGTGCATGTTGCATGCACACGTGTTCCCTCGCCAGAGTCCGTGTGGCGTCCCCCCCCCTTTCCACTGTATCCCCCTATAGCCCCACGGTACCCAATGGGTGTTTAGGCCTTAGGCCTTCGTGGTAGCTGGAGTATAAAAAAAAAAATGATAACTGGATTTGTGGATGCAGCACAACAAACCGTTTGTTTTGTTTTTCCTGTTTGTTGTTTGGTCGCGGGGTTGCAGAGCCTGCCTGGACAAAAATGGATTAGCCGACTTGGGACATTTAGTACAAAAAATTAAGAAACATGAAAACACTCAAGTCCATACCAATGCGCACGTGGAAATGCAGCTTTTGGGAAAAGTAGATATACGGCAGCAGTTGGCCAGTGCATATAGGCGCAGTATTCAACAGCAAAATGAAAAAGTTAGAAAGAATAGGTATGTACTTTCAAAAATTATTGATTGCATAAAATTTTGCGGAGCTTTTGAAGTAGCCCTCCGCGGTCACGACGAAAAAGATGGTTCAAAAATCCCGGTATTTTTAGAGGTTTCATAAATTTCACTGCCGAATTAGATATAGCACTTAAAGATCATTTTGAAAAATCTACAGTATTCAAAGGGATATCAAAAATCATGCAAAACGAATTGTTAGATTTCATGTTACAAGTGGCTCAGGAAAATATAAGAAAAGAAATTTTGGAAGCTGAATTTGTTGCTGTTATGGCTGACGAAATAACGGATGTAGCTAATTGTTATCAAATGACTACAGTATTTAGGTACATTATACCAGATGGAAGGCAAGTTGAACGTGTTTGGAATTTTGTTACCCCCCCCCCCCCCCCCCCTGACCACGATGCAGTTAGTCTCTCAGAATGTGTGAAAACTAATTTAATACAAGTGCTAGATAAACCAGAGAAACTGCTAGCTCAAAGTTATGACGGCGCTAGTGTAATGAGTGGACGTCATGGAGGTCTTCAAGCTCTTATTCAACGTGATTATATTTATGCTTATTTCGTTCATTGTTATGCCCACCAGCTAAATTTTATTTTATCGCAAGCTACAAGTCAAAATCAAGAAGTACGGGTATTTTTTTCAAATTTAAGCGATATTTCAACTTTTTTTCTCATTCTCCACAACGAGTTGCAGTTTTGGATGAAATTGTTGGTGCAAGAGTTCCTAGGTCTTCTGTTACAAGATGGAATTTTAAAAGCAGATCTATAAATACAGTATATGAATATCGCGAATTGTTAATAGAATGCATAGAAAAAATAGAAGCTACTTCAAAACAATCTGTTACCATCAATCAAGCCACTGGTATTGGCCGTATGCTACAAGATTCTAATTTAATTGGAATCAATTTACCGGCGACCTGATTTCAGAAATATGAGTGGTGCCATTAGTATGTTACAGTTTCTTATAGAAAATAATCTTCAGAGCATATTTTTGCCACCTTTACACTTTTACAAATAATTGTTACCATACCAATGACTACGGCCGAAAGTGAAAGATGCTTTTTGACATTGAAGAGAATAAAAACATTTTTGCGAAGTTCTATGAATGAAGAAAGACTGTCAGCCCTAGCAATGCTATCTATCGAGAAAAATGTATAGCGGGTATTCCAAACTTTAACGAGGCTGTTATTGATAAATTTTCTGCAAATACAATCGAATGGACTTTACGTTTAAACACTGTACTCATTAAAAACTTGTATTTTATTATAAATATATTTTCTTGTGTATAATAGGAAAAATAACAAAAAATATGTCCTTTCATTTCATACCACTTGTGAACCCCCTGTATCATAGACCACGAGCCGCCGCTGATCAGAACGCGTCATCTCTCCCCGATACCTAACTCGGGCAGAGTATAGAAAATACTATGCTGTTGTGCGGCAGACATACGCGTTATTCGATAAGAGAACAGTTATCACGGTCGGCGAACGACGCCAACAGCAGTCGCGACCGATAGGTACGCGATCCGTCCCCTGAGAATATTTTTTCAGGGCTAATCTATAGAGAAATCTATGATGTGTGAAATATGTCTAATAGGTGCGTAGTTGGGAGCGTATAAAAGTACCATTTTTTTCAAAATTAACCCCAAAAAATTAAGTTTGAGCGATTTTAATTTATGTAGTTTTAAGCCTCTTTCTTTGCCACCACTGAACGGATTCTGAAGAAAACTACAAAGCTTTTGCGTCCTTGGCATAGAAGTGACATGGTGTAATTGCATCAAAATCCGAGAGGCATTTCTCAAGTTATAGGCGGTTATAAGATTAGCGGACAGACCGACATGGTTTTTCATGACGTGCATGTCATATAACATCCAAAAAACAATATTTTCGAAATTTTGCGCGATTACAATACAACCTTACCAGTAGGCGTGAAAAGTAAAAAACTCTTCGGGATAAAAAGTAATTAAATTGTCCCAGGACTTTTTTGAGCCAGCTATGTCTATCGATTTTAAAACATTAAAATTGCCTTGAGTATGAATGTTATTGTTAATAAATTTTTTGAAAAAAATAGTGTCAAGTAAATTGAAATGGTACCTTCTACGCATACACATGGCTTATTTTCGAATATTCCGTACCTGCAAACTGAAAATTAAAAATATTTTTATATGTACGTGAAACATGAGCCTTGCTAAAAATTAGTTTTTGTAGGACCCAGGGTCGTAGCTACCGCCATATCAGCGACATCAATGCCCCAGGGGCCCCGGATTACAGGGGCTCGACTGTGTAAGAAGAAATTCGTAAAGTCTCATCCACCACCTCACGCATTTTTTTAAGTGGCACGCCATACTATAAATTATCAATAACTGAAGCCTTAGATCAGGGTTTCCCAACCTTTTTTTTGTTGAGGCTCCTCGGACTATAAATTATATTGTCATGCCCTCCATTAACTTTTCAATAAATACAAAATTATATAGATACAAAGACTTTTATTTTAATTCTAATAAAGAAACTTTAAAGTTTAAATGAACTAATAAATGTTTTTTATCAAAAAACTTGAATAAAATAAGAGTAGGTGCTAATGAGACACTTGAGATTGCATGTTCTGTACCAGTTGGTTGATTCTAGGTTCTGTTTTTGTCAGAGCTATCATCAGGTCGCTATCGATATCAAGACGATTTCGCTGTTTAGCTTTAGTTGCAACTAGACCCTGTCTCACATAAGTGAATTGAAGAAAAAGCAACTAGTATCGGTAAAACAAGAGAGGCAAGTGTCGAATTAACAGGCAATCTTTTGATCCAAATTTTCTCCAATGTTAAAAATGGAAGTCATCTTTCATGGACGAATCAGCCTTCATTTCTAGAAATTCTTCCTGAACTTCTTCTGGTAATTGTGACACATCGACAACAAATGGATTTCTTGTTATGTGCAATATTGTTGACTCAGAATTTATGTCTCGATAGTATCGGCGAAACTCGTCTTCCAGCGCTTGCAAATGAGTGTTTATGTCAGCTTTTAAATTTGCGTCCACTATGTTACTTTACTTGCTTCGAACATCTGCGGGATTAACAGCAAAACTGATGCTGTTCATCACTACCTGCAATCCAATCGTCCCTCCGTGCTTTCCTTGGCGGAGACAAAATCTCAGAGATTAACCATCTTAACTTCCCAAACTACGAGGTGCACTCCAATCTGAGAAAGAACGGGGGAGTTGTGGCTTTTGTCCGCAGCAGTCTTTCCTGCTCCAGAGATGTTTCTTTGGAATCAGGTTGGCAAGACATTCTGTGGCTTCGCCTCTACTCCAAAACATCACCCAAATTTATCTGCTGCCTTTATCGCTCTCCCTCGGACCATAACTGGGATGGCCTACTCGAATACCTCGCCGTCCAGATGACTCCTTGAACATCAATCACCCCGCTTCAGAGGTAGTTCTTCTCGGTGATTTCAATGCCCATAATGAGCTTTGGTTGGGCTCAAACAAGACCGATGCAGCAGGTCGTGCAGTCGAAGCGTTCGCTCTCACTCAAGGGCTGACCCAGCTGGTGACGAGCCCTACTTGTTTTCCCCGCATCTCGTCACACGCCACTAGCCTGCTGGATCTCTTTTTGACCACGCATCCTGTCCCTTACAGAACTGCTGTCCTGTCCCCCTGGGCAACTCAGACCACTGTGTTGTGGAGGTTAGGTTTCGGTCAGAACCCGCTGTGACAGCAGAAACTCGTACAGGCCACAAAACTTGGCCTTACGGACATGCCGATTAGGACGGGCTCAGAGACTTCTCTAGCTTTCCTCGGAGAGATGTCTGTTTCACTGACGCGAATGCGTCGGCTGTCTGTTTTTCGATAACCGAAATTATCCACGTCGGAATGGAGGAATACATCCTTCACACAGTAAAAGTGCCTAAACCAAGGTCCAATATACTTAGGCTCAGTTGATCATGATCTGCACAATTTGATTTTATTTTCATAAACTCGTCAAATATGATTTGCTGAGATATTAAAGTGAAGTTAAAATCAACATCAACAGAACGATGCTTGTGATTTTCATAGTACACTAGTAGTAATTCATCTATTGTGCTATTTGGAATAGAATTTATAAAGAAATTATTGACAGAGTCTGGTTCAAAAGGGCAGACGTTAAACTTATTTTTATTACCATGTATACCTATCTGCTTGATACATTTCCACCAGCTACGAGAATTACGCTTTTGCTTTAATTGATACTCAACGTAAGCCTTCTCTCTACGGACGGATGCAGTTACTAAATTTCGTAATTGTTTGTAATAAGTCCATTTTTGTTCAATGACTTCTTTGCTAGAATTTTTCTTTTTTAAGTTTTTATAACTGAAATAAGCTTTATCTCTTAGTTTCATCATGAGACGTATGTTCGGTGTTATCCAAGAGAGAGTCCTTTTGAATACCTTCTTGTATTTCAGAGGAGCACATGCATCTAGAACAAATAGAATTAGTTTATTCAAATACTCAACTTTAGAATTAATATCAGGATGATGGATCACATCTAACCAGTAGAGAGAAGAGGCGACAGTAATGAAAAGGTTCATGTCCATATTCTTTAAATTTCTTGTCTCTATATACTTAACATTGCTGGCGACAGGTAGTGATTCTACGCAA